GAGGTGATTTTATGAGGCAAAGTCCTTTTCCATCCGCTCTTTCCATCATCAGGGCGGCATTCCTGTTTCCCTGCCACCAACAGTGGGTTCCGAATCGAATAATTTCAAGGCTGCTGTGTTGAACTAAGCCAGCGAGATCGGTGTGTATTATTTCTGCTATTCCAGTAAGATTACCATCATGGCGAAGAAAGCGAGTCTACGATGGAAAAAATCTGACACCCCAGTTATAGAATCAAATTTAAACAATCAAGTCCGTCTGGTTTTTGCTGTATCAAACGCTACAAAGGGGTTAGAACAACCACTTGGGACCATTAGAAAAACTTTACGCTCCTACACTTAGCTTAACGGTTGAAATGTTTAAGCCTTGTTGTCAATAATTCCTTATTTTTCTCAACAAATGCGATTTCTTGTTGTTGTTTCTTTCACTAAAATTTATAGCTTTATGTCATTTCTATAAATGAGAAAATAAAAAGAACAAAAAACATTAAAATATAAACAACTTTTTAGCGGTTATTTTTTTTATTTATATAAAATTAAAACAAAAGTTCAACATTAAACTCTTTAGCCTAATTTGCATATGAAAGCGCCTTTTGATATGTGAAGCATCCTTCAAATGAAGATAAACCGAATAGTAGTATGTATCTACTTCACTATTTATGAATGTATGTATGCAAGTGTGTATCCACATACAAATGCATACATGCATGCTCGTGCTCTGCCCCCAAACTGCAATTTTTACGCCACGTATGTGAAAGGCTTCTACTATTATGTACACAAAGTCTTCCAGTGCCGGCAAACAGCTTTCCAGTGTTCCAGCTACACAGCAGCTTGGAAGAGTTTGTACTAAGCTAAGCGAAAGGATTAGGCGCTACAGCCAACTCTACGCACCGAAATGCAAACAGCCTTTCTACGCTCACATCAACCCAAATAACTGGCCCACGGATATATGTACTTATAATATATGTACATATGTATGTATATATCTACGTATTTATACATAGCTTTGAAGCGTTTACGTTTAAGCCATCTTGGCGCGCTGCAGCTTACTTGCCATTCATTCATGCAATATTTAGCCGCCACCCACCCACCCGCCGACGCTCAAACGCCCGCCTGTCAGCAGACTGCAGCGTAAAGTTTTAGCGAACACAAACACAATTACGGGGCTTTTACGATGGCCCAGCTAAAGCTAAAAGCTAAGTATGTGTATCATCTATGCAGGCACATAATCGAGTTGGACGGTACGGACGGGACACTTCTTTTGTTTCATTCCACCTGTTCCCACACTCACGGTTGCAAAGCAAGGCAAAGAAATTTGTCCATCTCGAGCTTCCTCTTCATAGAACGCCGTTAAGATGAGAGAAGGCAAGGAATAAGGATATCTGCTTTGGAGGCGCTCGCACAAAACCAAAAAAAAAAGAAGAAACGACCGAAATGTGAAACTAAGCTGCCTGTCGCAGTTGGATTGGCGTACGCGCCTCCCTCTGAGACTAAGGAGTACATAATGGCATTTGTGGATACTCAGCCTGCAACCTTCGGCAAAAGTGATGCAACTGTAGAGTTAAGGCTGTGTTTTGCATATCAAAAGTAAGAGTTTAGAAAGAAACCTAAGAGTTTTTTTTCCTCAAAATGTCTTCCTTTTAAGTGCATCTTTTGCATCCAAGCGAAGAAGGAGTATTAAGGGGAGGGGCATTTACTTTGAAAAGCCCCGCTCTTTATCGAAAGTCTAACAGAGAGTGTTTGTATAGCGCTTGTGTGAAGGATCTTTGATGTGTCTTACACAGCGAATAGTTTTTTGTGTATGTTTTTATGAACTTATGTATGTATGAGTGTTTAGGGATGAAACGATACGAGTAAATACAAGTACATACACGATACTTTTCGATCGATACCAAGTAAATTTGAGCCAGGTACTGAGTAGATATCGAAAAACAAATACTCGATACTGGTGGTGTATTGCCTACGCTCTAATTGTTTCACCAAAGTCGATGTAATGCGATGTATACACGGCCCAACTGTTCGACTTGAAGAGTGAACTTGATAAATGTTCGTACAGACGTTTCAACGCGCTGTATTGTACCAATCTTTTAACTAACGGGTGATTTTTTTGAGGTTAGGATTTTCATGCATTAGTATTTG